CCAAGGCTGGACTGTTATGTGGCTGAGCGCCGCCCCCGACCTGTAGTACCAAGAGCGCCCTGAGACCTGCAGCTTCACACATTAGGAGCTTCGTGTTTGTCCCCGCACCGAACAGAGCTCGGGCACATATTCTGTGATTACGGATCTTTCAAGTGATACAGAAGTGACACCCTTTTCCTGGGTCACAGGTGTGTGGACAGGAGGAAGAGGCTCGGATGAAAAGGAAAGAATGAAGTTTGGGGGAGCTCTGGAGAGGGAGGGCACGAGCCCACCCTTAAAACAGCACCCGATCTTCCACACGCCCTGTCCCAGCCACCCGCTCACACAGGCCTCCAGCTGTCAGCCCAGGACTCAAGCAGCATGTTTCTGAGCCCAGAGTCTCGCCTCTGGTGCGAGAACGCGCAGTCGGAGCACAGCCAGCCTCCCGCGGCGTCCAGGCTCTGTGCCTGTTGGTCAGGCTGTAGGTGCCCAGTGGGGTGCTGCTGGCAAGATTCTGTCCCCTCTGTGAAGCAGCCAGTTTGAGCCAGAGAGTCAGAAGCACATGCTGAGCAGCCCCTTCTCTCTGGGCGCCTCCCTGAGGTTACAGCAGCCCCATCTTCAGGCCATCTCAGATGCCAAAGCCCCCAGCTGGGCAGGAGACCTCCAGTGGGGATCTGCTCTGAAGGCACGCCGGCTGCCTACCTGCTCTCAGCCCACGCAGCTGCATAGTTTGGGGACCTCCGGCAGATTTCCTCCCTCTGTCTCTGTCTGCAGTGAAGTTACCTACAGAAGTTGAGGGTCTCATGGAGAAGGAAGATCTTTGAGTCAGTGTACCTCAGCCCTGAGAAATTTATATCAAAAATGAACCCGAAATACTATGTTTGTCTCCTTTTGTTTCTAAAGAGAAACAGCTCTAGTTTTCTAACTCATACAGTTTCTGGTCTAAAAAATCATAACATCTAATGGGGACAGTAAGAGAAAGAAGGTTTTTTGGGTTTTTTTTAAAGAAAGCAGATTGAAATACATGCCACATGAGAAATACAACCGAAGTCCTCCAGGGTTTAAAAGAGGAGGGACTCAAATTATGGAAGGTCCCATCTAGGCCATCTGTGACCTGATCCAAGTGGGAGGATCTGTGCAGAGAGAGGAGTCAGGGGAAGGAGGGTGGAGGAGGAGTTTGAAATGTGTTGAACGCTGGGCTAGTCACTAGTTTAAGAGATAATGGATGATGTTTCTAATCCAGCCGATCCTATAATTAGAGCTATACTTTAGAAAAATCATGCTAGCTTATAATGTGGAGTAGATGAGAATACGAGGAGACAGGAAATCAGAGTTAGGAAGCGCTGGTAGCAGCTGAGATGCAGTGAAAGGAAGCGAAGGTTAGACTCGAGGGCTCTACAACTTGCCTCTAAGGGTGAAGACTGATCTTGGTCCTCTGTTCTCAATTTATTCCTTGGGAAATTAACCAGTGTTCCTGTTTTTGTAACGAATTTCAAAAGTGATCTGAAAACAGGAATAAATACTTACTACTGGGAAAATCTTGATTGTTGACCTCAGTGATATTGATCCTAGGCATCGATGACCTACCACCAGCATTCTCTGCTCCCAGGCCGCATGGTAAAGATTCCTGTAGGATGTTGTAAGACAATACTTCTGGGTGATCTGAAAATTTGTGCAATATGACTACGTCATTTGTAGTGTTTGGATCTTTATCTCATATTTTTTTCTTACTTCCTATAAGTTTTCCTGGGCTTCCCAGGTGGCACTAGTGGTAAAGAATCTGCCTGTCAATGCAGGAGACGCAAGAGACGCAGGGTCAATCCCTAGGTCAGGAAGATCCCCTGGAAGAGAAAATGGCAACCCACTCTTTTTCTTGCTTAGAAAACCCCATGGACAGAGGAGCCTGGTGGGCTACAGTCCATGGGGCTGCAGAGAGTCGGATACGACTGAGCATACACACATAGCTTCCTGAGTCTAAGAACTTTTAAGATCTGTTCTCAGCAACTTTCAAGCATGCAATACAATATTATTACCACAGTCACCATGCTGTACATTATCTGACTTATTTTCTAAGGGGAAATTTGTACCTTTTGGCCCCTTTTACCTAACTTTCCTACTTCTACCATCCAGCATCTGGCAGCCAGTCTGTTTGCTGTATCTACATGGTTGTGTGGTGTTTTTTTTTTTAGATTGTACATATAATTGAGACCATAAATCTTTATCTGACTTATTTCATGTAGCATAAGGTCCATGTTGTCACAAATGGCAAGATTCCATTCTTCTTTATGGCTGAATGATATCCCATCAGTGGATACTCAGGTTGTTTGCATATTTGGTTTTTGTAAATTATACTGAAATAAACACGGTGATAAGTCATCTCTCAGTATCCTCGGGGAGTTGGTTCCAGGACCCCCCTTAGATACCAAAGTCCACAGGTGCTCGACTCCCTTATATAAAAGGCGTGGTATTTGCATCTAACGCACATATATCCTCCCATATACTTTAAATCATCTCTAGATAACTTAAGCTCCTCTCGGCCGCTAAGCTTCTGTGCCGACTGTCGCAGCCTCCGTGCTTCTGTGGCACTCTCCTTCCCTTGGCGGTCCAGTGGCTAAGACTCCACACTCCCAGTGCTGGGGACCCAGGTTCAATCCCTGGTCAGGGAACTAGATCCCACATGCCACAACTCCACGCGTGCGCACGCGCCAGCCAGCCAGCTGGTGGAGTTTGGTGTGTGCGTGCCCACCTGCCCACCTGCCTCACACCAGGTGGGGAACGGGAGTGCACTCACTATGCCAGCAAATTTGGAAAACTCAGCAGTGGCTACAGGCCTGGAAAAGGTCAGTTTTCATTCCAATCCCAAAGAAAGGCAATCCCAAAGAATGCTCAAACTACCATACAGTTGCACTCATCTCACATGCTAGTAAAGTAATGCTCAAAATTCTCCAAGCCAGGCTTCAGCAATACGTGAACCGTGAACTTCTAGATGTTCAAGCTGGTTTTAGAAAAGGCAGAGGAACAAGAGATAAAATTGCCAACATTTGCTGGATCATCGAAAAAGCAAGAGAGTTCCAGAAAAACATCTATTTCTGCTTTATTGACTATGCCAAAACTTTGGACTGTGTGGATCACAATAAACTGTGGAAAATTCTGAAAGAGATGGGAATACCAGACCACCTGACCTGCCTCTTGAGAAACCTGTATGCAGGTCAGGAAGCAGCAGTTAGAACTGGACATGGAACAACAGACTGGTTCCAGATAGGAAAAGGAATATGTCAAGGCTGTCTATTGCCACCCTGCTTATTTAACTTATATGCAGAGTACATCATGAGAAATGCTGGGCTGGAGGAAGTGCAAGCTGGAATCAGGATTGCCGGGAGAAATATCAATAACCTCAGATATGCAGATGACACCACCCTTATGGCAGAAAGTGAAGAACTAAAGAGCCTCTTGATGAAAGTGAAAGAGGAGAGGGGAAAAGTTGGCTTAAAGCTCAACATTCAGAAAACTAAGATCATGGCATCTGGTCCCATCACTTCATGGGAAATAGACGGGGAAACAATGGAAACAGTGGCTGACTTTCTTTTTTGGGCTCCAAAATCACTGCAGATGGTGATTGCAGCCATGAAATTAAAAGATGCTTTCTCCTTGGAAGGAAAGTTATGACCAACCTAGATAGCATATTAAAAAGCAGAGACATTACTTTGCCAACAAAGGTCCGTCTGGTTAAAGCTATGGTTTTTCCAGTGGTCATGAATGGATGTGAGTTGGACTATAAAGAAAGCCGAGCATCAAAGAATTGATGCTTCTGAACTGTGGTGTTGGAGAAGACTCTTGAGAGTCCCTTGGACTGAAAGGAGATCCAACCAGTCCATCCTAAAGGAGATCAGTCCTGGGTGTTCATTGGAAGGACTGATGCTGAAGCTGAAACTCCAATACTTTGGCCACCTGATGCAAAGAGCTGACTCATTTGAAAAGACCCTGATGCTAGGAAAGATTGAGGGCAGGAGGAGAAGGGGACGACAGAGGATGAGATGGTTGGATGGCATCACTGACTCAATGGGTGTGGGTCTGGGTGGACTCCGGGAGTTGGTTTTGGACAGGGAGGCCTGGCGTGCTGCAGTTCATGGGGTCGCAAAGAGTCGGACACGACTGAGCAACTGAACTGAACTGAGATAGCTTAAAGTGCCGTGTAAAATGTAAAGGATGTGTAAATAGTTATGTCGATATATATATATATATATATATATATATATATATATAGGCACCACACCTGTAAGAATGGCTATTTCACTGTGATTTTGATTCGCATTTCCCTGATGACTAGTGATTCTGAACAGTTCATGTACCTGTTGGCCATTTGTATGTCTTCAGAAAAATGTCTGTTTGCTCTGCCTGTTTTTTTAGTCATATCGATGTTTTTTCCTGCTACATTCACCCCTCATCAGATACGTGACTTGCACATATTTCCCCTCATCTGGTGGATTGTCTGCAGCTCGTGTCTGACGAGGTTTCGTCTGTTGACGGTTTTTCCTCTGCCGGGCAGAGCCTTTCAGTTTGTAGTCTCACTTGTCAGTTTTTACTTTTCTGCCTTTTTCATGGTGTGGATATGGTAGAGAGATCTTTACCCATGCTTCATAGTTTATCTTATAATTGGAATTTCATATTCTGCCTTTAAATATTCAGAGCTTTAACTCTTTAAATATTGTCTAGTTTGAGACTATGAAAGTAATATGTATATGAGCAACATCACTAACTGGTAACATTAAATACTGCACATTAATATTTAATCTTACTATCTGCCAAATATAACAATGCTGGAATTTGTAGGAATCTGAGTAAATGCTTTAACTATTATAAAGATATTTTTGGAGGCATGACAAAACAACAAAATTTTATAGTTGGTGTCATATGTAAATTTTAAAGATGATTCTTTTACAACATAGAGTATGTTTTTATGTGTCCTTCCTGCATCACCAAATGCTGATCATATCAGAATAAATAGCAATATGCCATTTCAGGGATCAGTTTCATTCACCGATGTGACTGTGGACTTCACCCAGGAGGAATGGGAGCAACTGGACCCCTCTCAGAGGATCCTCTACATGGACGTGATGCTGGAGAATTATAGCAACTTACTGTCAGTGGGTAAGGACAACTTTCGGGTGTGATTTAAGGTTTGGGTCCTTTCTCAGTTACCCAAGATTACAAGCTTCTGAATTACTAGGTGGTTTTGGTCTCAAGCTTCATGTATTAAAGCTGAGGTAGTTCAGACTCTGAAGTTCTGCCTTCTGTATTTTCAGGCTTTCACAAGTCCAAGCAGTTAGGAGTGATGTTCCATTATCAAGGTCTCTAATATTATCAAACCAGATTTTCAAGTTGGGTCAGTAAGAATAGTTGTGGGTATCAGAGTTAGAATTTCCAGGCAGAACTTTCTAGGGGGGGACTTCTCTGGTGGTCCAGTGACCAAGACTCCACGTTCCCAATGCAAGGGGTCCAGGTTCACTCCCTGGTCAGGGAACTAGATCCCCCGTGCATCACTCAGACCCATTGTAAGCCAAATTCTTCCCCCCCCGCCCCAAAAAAAGGAACATACTAGGAAAAATGTGGAAGGTGGGAAGGAGAATCTTATAGAAGCCAGTGGAAGTGATATCCTAGAGATTATGAATGGGTTGGTACCTTTGAAGTATTGTTTAGGAATCTGTTTTTCAAATCCCTAAACCTTTAGAGAAAGCTGAGGACAGATGACCAGTGCACCTCATATCTTGAGTCGAGCCTCCAAACATCAGTCTCTTCCTGCTTAGCTTTTTTCCTGTTTCATTTTTATATCTATTCGCCTCTCATACTCAAGCCCTGATTCTTTCCTAGCATGTTTTAAACCCTTGTTTCACGATTAGTTTCTCTTTCATTAGTATTGTCATCTAGCCAGAATGGTGACTTCTATATTGTAGGTCATGGGAATTGGAATGTAGCCTCAAGGAAAATACACATTTTTCAGTACAAGAGTGACACAAATGGCCTCAGGATCCCAAGGGTCAGGAATATCCAGTAATACAGAGATGAAAGTAAAGGTTCGTACAGCATAGGTGGAGGTCAGGTAAATTTGATCCTTGAGATTCCTTGGAATAAAAGCAGGGACTTAGACTGGTTTGAGAAAGAAATTAAACACATGAAAGGAGAAAAATAAGATATAATGATAGAAACACTTTCTCCAACAACTTTGATTGAAAAAAATAGTGCACCCAGCAGTAGCATTGAGTGATTCTGTCAAAAGGATCTTGGATCACTTTTATATTTTCTACAGAATATATGAGTTTCTGGATTTTGCCTTCCAACTTGCAAAAGTCTGACTTTGGAGATTTGGAGCTCCGCATAGGGTTCTGTCTGCAAACCTGTGAGAATGTTGCCTTTAGGAGTTACTGGTAAACTTGCTAGAGGAACAGAGGAGAGGAAAGGGGAAAGAGCCTTGAGTGTGTAGATGTGGCACCCATCTGACCACAGTTAAGAGTCTCAGCATTGGGTGCTCAACTTAGATCTGTCTGGTTTTTTCCCTCAACATCTACGTAATATCTTGTTCTGTGTCAGCTGGTGTCCTTGAGGACACCAAGTCTCATTTGTCTCTGGAATTGCCAGCCTTCCCACATCAGTTGTTTTTATTTTACTTTACCCACTTTTAAGGCCGTTTTGTAATCTGGGGTGTTGTCTGTGTCCATTTTGCCACAGGCTTTGTCTTTTTCTTTCATTGTTTAAGAGCTAGGAAAACTTGGAACTGGGGACTTTTTTATACTGTAAAGACTGGGTCCCAAACTAAAGAAAGAGACAGCCCTGCAGTGGAACATTTGTGGAGCTTCACATTCTGTAACATTATGATGAAAAGGTTGACAGTATTTCATGTGCTCTTTCCTAGAGGTATGGAAGGCTGATGACCAGATGGAGACAGACCATAGAAGCCCAGATGAGCAGGCGAGACCGTTTATAATCTTTAAGGACCAAACCACAATCGAAGAAAGAGATAATAATCTCTTTGGAAAAACATTTAACCTTAGTGCAGACTTTGTTTCTTTAAGACAAGTACCCTATAAATATGACTTATATGAAAAAACTTTGAGATATAATTCAGACTTACTTACTAGCAACAGAAACTATATAAGAAAGAATGCAGACGACTGTAATGGATTTGGGAAAGCACTCTTCTATCTGAAACAAGAGAAAACCCATCCTGGAATGGAATACTCGGAATATAATAAAAGTGGGAAAGCCTTCAGCCATAAAGAAGCCATTTTTAAACACCAGAAAATTAGAAACTTGGTGCAGCCATTTATCTGTAATTATTGTGACAAGGCTTTCTCATTTAAATCACTCCTCATTAGTCATAAAAGAATACATACTGGAGAAAAGCCTTATGAATGTAATGTGTGTAAGAAAACCTTCTCCCATAAAGCAAACCTCATTAAACATCAGAGAATTCATACGGGGGAGAAACCCTTTGAATGTCTGGAATGTGGAAAAGCATTCACCCATCAGTCAAACCTCATTGTGCACCAGAGAGCACATATGGAGAAGAAGCCCTATGGATGCAGCGAGTGTGGCAAGACATTTGCCCAGAAATTTGAACTTACCACACACCAGAGAATCCATACTGGAGAACGACCCTATGAGTGTAATGAATGCGCAAAAACCTTCTTCAAGAAATCAAATCTCATTATACACCAGAAAATTCACACAGGGGAGAAACGCTATGAGTGCAGCGAATGTGGAAAATCCTTTATCCAGAACTCACAACTCATTATACACATGAGAACTCACACTGGAGAAAAACCCTATGAATGCACTGAGTGTGGAAAAACTTTCAGCCAGAGGTCAACTCTTAGATTACATTTGCGAATCCACACGGGAGAGAAACCGTATGAGTGTGCTGAGTGTGGGAAAGCCTTCAGCAGGAAGTCCCGACTCAGTGTCCATCAGAGAGTTCACACCGGGGACAGACCCTGACCCTGCAGCCCACCTGTACCAAGGAGAACCCGTCCCACAGCGAGGAACCTGTGGTTCCAGTTCCTTGGTTCCTCACCAAGGTGCTGAAAGAACATGGGAACTCTTGCAATCTGTCAACTCAAATGTGTAAAAACGGGGTCCCCTAAGAACAATATTGTACCAACAGTTAGGTGTGATACCCAGGTAAACAATATGTACCAGAATATATCCAACTGCAAATAGACAAACTTACCTGTATTACAGTGAGCTTTTAGAAATCCTGAGTGAATTATTCAGTAATGAAGTATTCTGGGCCACATAAAGGAGCTAAAGACAGTACTCTACGGATTCAGTGGTTATGTGCAAGAATATGCCACACACACACACAAAAACAATGTGTTTTAGATCTGCACATGTAAATTTAACAGACACTGAGAGTTTGACATTCTTGTCCTAATAATTAGGACATCCAAACACAATTTTCCATACTGAGTGTCACGTATTTTTCAGTACCTTACAATCCAGGGTGCATTCCAGAGAGCATACGTCTCCTCTTGTGGGCACACTGTTTCTGAGTTGCCTCGTCAGTCAACAGAAGACAGTTTAGCCTTCTGGGTTTGCTGAAGACTTCTCAGAAGTATTACTGACACATAAGTATGCAAGTGTGAGATAACCGGAAACTGAAGAGAGTGAAAAGGAGGCAGTGTGCAGCACGGAACACGGGCTGTGTAAAGAAAGCCGCACCGGTCGCGTGCCTGTGTTTCACTGGGGTGTTTACGTACAAATGCATGTCTTACCAAGATACTGTATAACCCAGGAACCACTTGTATTCTGTGTTTCCCTGTTTCTCTTAATATTTTATACATTGTCTTGCAACAAATAGGATGCGTATGTAGTTCAAGTGTCACATTTCAGAGACTTAGAGAAATAATTTATTTTAAGTAACTGTCAGTAAATGTCTTATATTGCTTTTTAAAACTTCCATATGCATAGTCCACTTTAGAAATAAACTTTTGCAGAATTCTATTTAAAGGAGATAATTCTACTTCCATGAGTTTCACTGTCATCAACCAAAAGCATTTCCCTATGGAATCTGACTTGTGTAAGTTATGTCTTTCTTTTAAAGACTCACAAACACTTTATTAACCTAAAAAAATTTCTTACTTTTGCATAACTCAGATACCATTTTAGGCCTCATTTCAAATTCACAAGTTCCTTTCCTTATTCATCACAGATCATGTGTTGATTTAGCAAACGGCTGCTATAACTGGCCTTTCTTTCTTGTAGTTATTTTTGGAGATTATTGATGTGCTGTGACTGTATATGAACATGAGTGATTTTCTGAACAAATCTGCCAGAATATCCATAGTCAGTAAGTCTTGTCTTTCTAAACTGTCATCTAATGGCAAGGAAGCCACAGAAGAGGATCACTTCATACACTGCTGTTAGAAATATAAATGTGACAGCCTCCTTGGAGATAATTATTACTCTGTCTTTTAACATCAAGAACATACATCCAGTTGACCCTTGGACAGCACTGGTTTAAAATGTGCAGGTCCATTTATCCACAGATTTTTTTCAGTGAGTATGTACTCCAGTCCTCTGTTGGTTGAATCTGTGGATGCAGAACCTTGAATACAAAGGACCGACTTAAGTTATACTTGGGATTTCAACTACACTGAAGGTCTGTGCCTTTATCCCCTGTTGTTCAAGGGCCAACCCAGCAGACTTGCTTTTGGGAATCCATCCCTAAGAAAAAAAGTGCCAGCACCTTAAACTGTATATTTATCAATGTATATTGTATTTTTTGGTAAGGACAAAAAAAGGAAACAATGTGAATGACCATTGGTAAGAGAATCATTGAATAAACTATGGTAAAGATGTACCACAGCTACAACATAATCCATGGAAAAGGGAGCGTGCAGGGGCAAATGCCACCAGGGCAGATGGGGTGGGGGACTGTGTGTGCGCGTGTGTACACCAGGACAGATGGGGTGGGGGACTGTGTGTGCGTGTGTGGGTGTATACACCAGGACAGATGGGGTGGGGGACTGTGTGTGCATGTGTGTACACCAGGACAGATGGGGTGGGGGACTGTGTGTGCATGTGTGTACACCAGGACAGATGGGGTGGGGGACTGTGTGTGCGTGTGTACACCAGGACAGATGGGGTGGGGGACTGTGTGTGCCTGTGTGTACACCAGGACAGATGGGGTGGGGCACTGTGTGTGCGTGTGTGTACACCAGGACAGATGGGGTGGGGGACTGTGTGTGCGTGTGTGTACACCAGGACAGATGGGGTGGGGCACTGTGTGTGCGTGTGTGTACACCAGGACAGATGGGGTGGGGGACTGTGTGTGCGTGTGTGTACACCAGGACAGATGGGGTGGGGGACTGTGTGTGCATGTGTGTACACCAGGACAGATGGGGTGGGGGACTGTGTGTGCGTGTGTGTACACCAGGACAGATGGGGTGGGGGACTGTGTGTGCATGTGTGTGGGTGTGTACACCAGGACAGATGGGGTGGGGGACTGTGTGTGCGTGTGTGCGGGTGTGTACACCAGGACAGATGGGGTGGGGGACTGTGTGTGCGTGTGTGTACACCAGGACAGATGGGGTGGGGGACTGTGTGTGCGTGTGTGTGGGTGTATACACCAGGACAGATGGGGTGGGGGACTGTGTGTGCGTGTGTGTGGGTGTATACACCAGGACAGATGGGGTAGGGGGGAGTGTGTGTGCGTGTGCACCAAAACAGATGGGGTGGGGGACTGTGTGTGCATGTGAGTACACCAGGACAGATCGGGTGGGGGACTGTGTGTGCGTGTGTGTGGGTGTATACACCAGGACAGATGGGGTGGGGCACTGTGTGTGCGCGTGTGTACACCAGGACAGATGGGGTGGGGGACTGTGTGTGCATGTGTGTACACCAGGACAGATGGGGTGGGGGACTGTGTGTGCGTGTGTACACCAGGACAGATGGGGTGGGGGACTGTGTGTGCCTGTGTGTACACCAGGACAGATGGGGTGGGGGACTGTGTGTGCGTGTGTACACCAGGACAGATGGGGTGGGGGACTGTGTGTGCCTGTGTGTACACCAGGACAGATGGGGTGGGGCACTGTGTGTGCGTGTGTGTACACCAGGACAGATGGGGTGGGGCACTGTGTGTGCATGTGTGTACACCAGGACAGATGGGGTGGGGGACTGTGTGCGTGTGTGTACACCAGGACAGATGGGGTGGGGGACTGTGTGTGCGTGTGTGTACACCAGGACAGATGGGGTGGGGGACTGTGTGTGCGTGTGTGTACACCAGGACAGATGGGGTGGGGCACTGTGTGTGCGTGTGTGTACACCAGGACAGATGGGGTGGGGGACTGTGTGTGCGTGTGTGTACACCAGGACAGATGGGGTGGGGGACTGTGTGTGCGTGTGTGTACACCAGGACAGATGGGGTGGGGGACTGTGTGTGCATGTGTGTGGGTGTGTACACCAGGACAGATGGGGTGGGGGACTGTGTGTGCGTGTGTGCGGGTGTGTACACCAGGACAGATGGGGTGGGGGACTGTGTGTGCGTGTGTGTACACCAGGACAGATGGGGTGGGGGACTGTGTGTGCGTGTGTGTGGGTGTATACACCAGGACAGATGGGGTAGGGGGGAGTGTGTGTGCGTGTGCACCAAAACAGATGGGGTGGGGGACTGTGTGTGCATGTGAGTACACCAGGACAGATGGGGTGGGGGACTGTGTGTGCGTGTGTGTGGGTGTATACACCGGGACAGATGGGGTGGGGGACTGTGTGTGCGTGTGTGTGGGTGTATACACCAGGACAGATGGGGTAGGGGAGAGTGTGTGTGCGTGTGTGGGTGTATACACCAGGACAGATGGGGTAGGGGAGAGTGTGTGTGCGTGTGCACCAAAACAGATGGGGTGGGGCACTGTGTGTGCGTGTGTGTACACCAGGACAGATCGGGTGGGGGACTGTGTGTGCATGTGTGTACACCAGGACAGATGGGGTGGGGGACTGTGTGTGCGCGTGTGTACACCAGGACAGATGGGGTGGGGGACTGTGTGTGCGTGTGTGTGGGTGTATACACCAGGACAGATGGGGTAGGGGGGAGTGTGTGTGCGTGTGCACCAAAACAGATGGGGTGGGGGACTGTGTGTGCATGTGAGTACACCAGGACAGATGGGGTGGGGGACTGTGTGTGCGTGTGTGTGGGTGTATACACCAGGACAGATGGGGTGGGGCACTGTGTGTGCGTGTGTGTACACCAGGACAGATCGGGTGGGGGACTGTGTGTGCATGTGTGTACACCAGGACAGATGGGGTGGGGAAAGTGTGTGTACGAGTGTGTGCACAGCAAATTTTGTAAAAATCTAAAAACTGTGTTAATTTGTATAGCATTTTACAGGTCTGGAGAATAGAATTCTCTGAAGTAAAAATGGAGATTTTGCTTGCATTCCTTGGTCGCTATTTGTTTATGGTGGAACACCACCATAACCCATGAAAGTGGACACGGTCCACAGCACAGCAAGGTGGATAGCTCCGTCACCCTGGGCAGCAGCCAGCTGCTGTGCTGTGCTCCTTAGCCTGTGTTCCCAACAAGAGCGCATATCTGACAGTCACTGCTCACATGATGGAACCTTATAAAAAAGACTAATAAACACAGAAAAACCATTGGAAAAAGTGCAGGGAATGCCAAGGTTATTATTACTATAAATTAGCAAATTACAGTGCTTTGAGAAAACTCAACATAACCGCCTTTATAGCTGCACAGATGACCAAAAGGGTGACTGTCCTTTCATGAACTGTTTGCTCCCAAGGCCCTAGAAATCCAGATCAGAGATCATCATGTCTTCTTTTCTAAGTGCCCTGGGATTCTCATACAGTGGACTGGTTTTAGAGGAACCTCCTCCTAAAGATGAGTTCTTTGCCTGGACATAGGGCTGTGTTCACCAACCTCAGAGCAGGCTGGGAGCAGGAGCTGTCTTTTCACTGGTGAGCTGCAGGCCAAGAGGGACAGA